TGTCGCTTGTATCCTAACGATTGAAATTGACTGTTTCCTAGTATGATTTGATGGCTTATTTGTACCCCATGACTATCATTAAGTGTAGTACCTGATGATTTTTGACAAATGTATCTTTTCTTTTATGTACACTGAGAGCATTTGTACCAAGACAAATTCCTTGTGTGCCCAATCACACCTGGCCAATAAATAATTCTATCTATCTATCTATCTATCTATCTATCTATCTATCTATCTATCTATCTATCAATCATCCATCCATCCATCCATCTATCTTATCACTAAAGCAGGAAGCCATTCATAAAACCCATTCAGCTGCCATCCAGATGACTGGATGAAAACCATAGGCAATGCAGGTGCTTCTTGACGTACAACCAAAATTGCAATACAGGTGGATCTCTGCTTATGACTGTAATAAAGTCCAACCTTCCCAAGGCTAAGCCATGGTTCAGTCAGTTTTTGTCCCCGTTTTATGACCCTTTGCTTGCTACGGCTGCTAAGTCAATCACTGCCGTCGATAAGTTAGTAACCTGATTGTTAAGTGAATCTGGATTTTCCCCATGGATTTGGCTGGTCAGGTGGTCTCAAAAGGGGAACCGGGTGACACCCAGCATGCTGCAGCCATCAAAAATATGAGACAGTTGCCAAGCTTCCAAATTTTGACCATGTGACCATGGGGATGGAGGCTGCAGTAGTCAGAAGTGTGAAAAAAACAACGCTCTTAAATCACTTTTAGTGAAAATTAACTTAACTGTATTGCTTAGCAACAGAAATTCGGGATTCCAATGGGGTCATAAATCAAGGATTATCCATACCCGTGTTTCTGGCAATCTTCTAGCTTCTTCAACCCTTTTTGAAGTTGGTACCTCAGATGGACCATTCCTTTCTCTGGCTATGCAGAACTTTCTCCTCTTTGGGCTTCTGAACGTTTGATGGGCCCTTCCACCCAAAATCAGCTCACATTTCCTTGCAGTCAAAGGAAATCAATTTGATGACGAGGCCTTCGCAAAATGCTTGCTCTTCCCTAAATGTTGCTGCTGGATTATATTCCATCAGATTCCCTTCATCTATTAACTTCACAGTGCTAATTTTAACGAGCCACCCATTAAAGCTTCCTTGGCAATAGATGGACGCGATCACCCACGGTGCTTAATTGCTCGTAAAACCATCTTGCTAAAGTTCTCCCTCTCGGATATATGCAAATCCGGGAGCTGAAATGAGACGTGTCCATCCAACGTGTGTGCTCCTTCGTCTTACCTGGGAACAGAGCTTGGGTTTAGTGGCTGGCAGAAGAGGCGGAGGGTCACCTTTTTTTTCTCCAAAGCACCTGAAGGCAGGAGAAGAAGCAACGGATGGAAACTCACCAAGGAGAGAAGCAACCTAGAACCAAGGAGAAATTTTCCTGACAGTGCGAAAAATTAAGAAGTTGCAGGTGCTCTCCATCACTAGAAGTTTTTAAGAAGAGATTGGACAATCATTTGTCTGAAACGGGATAGGGTCTCCTACTTAAGAAGGGGTTGGACTAGAAGACCTCAAAGGTCCCTTCCAACTCTGTTATTCTGTACTTCTGCTTCTCTCTCAATTGCAAGCTACCGAAAAAATAATTTAATTACAGTTACAATATAATACACACCAAATTCCAGCCTCTGGACTTGCCTTGATAACCGTGCCATGGGCTTTTCTTTTTCCATTTCAATTGATCAAACTCTTCACTGACTTACAATATGTGTTCTTTTTCATTTTCCATTGGTCTTTCAAAATACTTTTTTCGAACAATTCTTCCCCCAATTATGATAGATGAAGGAACAATATATTATTCAAAGACCCCAGGCTAGAACTCAGGAGTTTGATTATAATTTTATTTTGCCTGACACTTTTTGTACTCTTCATGATTTATTTTGTGATGTATCCCAGAAGAATATACAAAGGCACACTGCAAGTTCTATCTCAATGCATGCTTATTTAATGTTACCCAATACAGCGATGAACTGGTAAGTTCATTTAACAATAAAGAGAATTAAGTATATAAAGTAACATATTGAGCCCAAATGATCTAATTAGTCCTTCAGAAGAAGAATCTTGGGATCCAAAAAACAGAGTTTAAATCTTTGATCCATTATGTAATTGATGGACAATGAATATTTCCCACCCGCTATCACTTTGCAATAATGAACACATGTAGAAGAATCTGTTCCTGCAACCCACCGTTTAGTTTTCAAACTGCCAGAATATAATTCAGAAGAACTGACACGCCTGCGGGGAAGGAAAAAAAAAAAGAGAGAGCGTCTTCTAAAGTAAAATTAATAAGAGAAATAATGTGCGAGTTGCGTGGACAAATGCTGCGTTTGAAGCCCTGCGATTGTTGTAAAATCAAACAAGCAAATAAACCCGTATAGATGGAGGTTACAACTTCACCTCCTTTTAAAACAATGGATATCCCCATGATGTAATCGCTCTGGAATTATGTGTCTTTTAAGGTTGTGCTGGTGGGACGTGGTGGGTCAGTAGCTAAGACGCTGAGCTTGTCGATCAGAAAAGGTCGGCAGTTTGGTGGTTCGAATCCCTGGCGCTGCTTAACGGAGTGAGCTTCCGTTACTGGTCCCAGCTTCTGCCAGCCTAGCAGTTTGAAAGCATGTAAAAAAAAAAAAATTGCAAGTAGAAAAATAGGGACCACTTTGGTGGGAAGGTAACGGCATTCCATGCACCTTCGGTGTTTAGTCCTGCCAGCCGCATGTCCACGGAGACGTCTTCTGACAGCGCTGGCTCTTCAGCTGTGTCACGGAGATGAGTACCGCCCCCTAGAGCCAGAAATGGCTAGCATGTATGTGCAAGGGGAACCTTTAACTTTACCTTTAAGGTTGTGCTAAAATTTGCACTGGGGTTGTTCAGAAGTTTGTTTTTCCCCATTTTCCATCTTTCTGCCTTTGACTGTACTTTGGCTTTGATTTTTGGTAAGAAGTGACCAATGCAAGAGAGACATTTGCCTCATCCACCAAGTTGTTTCATTTATAGAATCACCTAGTGGCCTACTTTCCATGACTCCCGCTATTGTTTTATACATGCAAGAGTTAGTAAGTAATCTTTATTCAGTCAAGGGCCAGCAGAAACCATTCAGTAGAAGAGGGTTCCTAAAATCAAAAGGATAGATAGATAGCTTCTTGGCCTTTGAGCTAAGACTAGGGGATTTAAACAGATTTAATCTGGATTAATTGAAGATTTTTTTTGGGGGGGGGGGAACTCCTCATGTGAATTAGCCACAGCATTATTTTCCCCGCTTCTGCAAAAACATAAATAGATAAATAGATGGAATGTTAAGCTCTCGCCTGTAACTTCCTTGCTTTTCCTTGCTTTTCGTCCTGTTTTTTCTAGTTAAGTGATGTTGATGTTTGCTAATGTTTAATAAATAAGCATCATCTACTAAGTTGCCCGCCAGAGTAACGCTCTCGCTCTAATCGGAAGATCAGGATCGACTGTGAGTGCGGTGTACAGAGGGCAGATCTACAGGGAATTCATCCATTGTCGGGCTTTTTTTTTTTTCAACAACAAAAGCGGAATCGGTTGCCGTGCCATTGCGGTAAAATTTGCAATTCGTTTGTCGTTTTCTGCTCCAAGCTTTCCACGTCTTTTAAAAAAAAAAAGGCCCTGGGGAGGATTTGCATCTTACTTTGGGTCCTTCTCTGGGGATTGAATGAGAATATAGGAACCAGCAGGATTCAAATTGCCAGAGATGTTAAGATGACTTCGCACCCCCTGCGTGAGATGCCTGGTTGTGCAAATAAGTGCAACGATAGCTCACTTTGCCCAGGAGAATTTCAACCCATTCCTTCCCCTCCTCCTCCTCCTCCTCTTCTAAAGCAAATTTCTTTTCATTCATCTGCGAACTGGAGAGGAGGGAAAGGAGAGAGCCCTTCCTAAGCCCCCCCACTGATTTGTTTTTATTTGTTAAATTCTTTGGGGGTTTCTTTGAAAAGGGCTTTCATCTCTCTCTCTCTTTCTCTTTATCTCTATCTGTCCATATTTAGTTCCTTATCTCTATCTATCTATCTATCTATCTATCTATCTTTTATCTATCTATCCATCTCTATCCATCATAGAGTGTCTGTCTATCTATCTATCTATCTATCTATCTATCTATCTATCTATCTATCTATCTATCTATCTATCTATCTATCATCTCTATCCATCTCTATCCACCATCTATATTTCTCTCTCTCTCTCCTCTCTCTCTTCTCCCCTCTGTTTCTATCAATTTCTCTCATTTCTCTTTATCTCTTCTCTCTCTATCATTAGAGAGATGATCTCCCTCCGCTCTCTCGCTCTCTCTCATCATTCTTTATCTCCTGCATCCTCTCTCATCTCTCTTTCCCTCCCTCTCTTTCTCCCCCCACCATCTCATCAATTTTTATCTCCCCCCTTTCTCTCCTCTCTCTCTCCTCTCTCTCTCTTTGGTCTCTCTCTCCTTTCTCTCTGATCTTTCTCTCTCTCTCTCTCATATCTCTTTTTCTCTCCTCTCTCTCTCTCTCTCTCCTCTCTCTTCTTTCTCTCTGGTCTTTCTCTCTCTCTCTCTCTCTCTCTCTCTCTCTCTCATATCTCTTTTTCTCTCCTCTCTCGCTCTCTCTCCTTTCTCTTCTTTCTCTCAGGCCTTTCTTTCTCTCTCTCTCTCTCTCTCTAGTCTCTCTCTCTCTCTCTCTCTCTCTCTCTCTCATCTCTCATTATCTCCTTTCTCTTTCTCTCTCCCACCTCTCTCTCTCTGTGTAAAAGAGAAAATGCAGAACTCGTTTTGATATATTCTCATTTTAGCATCCTTGCTTTAAAGCTGTAACATGGAATCCAGCACTGAGTAGAGAGGGTAACCCTGGATGATACACAGTTATGCGCTCTCCAGCAGGCACCCTCTGACGCAAGGCGTTGCTGAACATTCCCATAGAGTTCTGAGCAAATCCTTTGCAAGGCATCAGGTTGGGAATTGGGATTAATTGCTGTTGAGCTGAAACGAAGGAATGGGTGATGGTTGTCAGAGAGTGGCTATTTGCAAAAATGCTGCGATCAAAGCCAGTACGTGGCTCAGATTCACAGGGCAAAAATTCCATATCCCAGTGCAACAGTTTGACCTTGAAAACGGAGTCGTCCAATATTTGAGGGGCTGTCCCGGAAAAGAGGGGAGTCAAAGCTATTCTCCAAAGCACCTGAGGGCAGGAGAAGAAGCAGTAAGGATGGAAACTAATCAAGGAGAGAAGCAACTTAGAATTCAGGAGAAATTTCCTGACCGTGAGAACACTTAATCGACCTCTGCAAGTTGTGGCTGCTCCATCACCGGAGGCTTTTAAGAAGAGATTGAACTGCTATATATCTGGAATGGTATAGAGTCTCCTGCTTAAGCAGTGGGTTGGACTAGAAGATCTTCAAGATCCCTTCCAAGTCTGTTATTCTGTTATTTATATTTCCAACAGTATATAGGCACCTGCCATGGCTAGTTCGGATCCTGTTGAGCGCCGTCCAGATTTTCCTGGGTTAGATCAAAGCCGGAAGGGGGGCCATTATACTGGATTGACACTAAATTAAACAGACCTGGGTTAGAAGCTGCCCAATCCTGGCTCCGTGCAATCTCAGTGTCACAGCCACAGACTTCTGGCTTGCTGAGTTTTCCTTCGTCTCTTTTTCTCTGCAGAGATCCGTGAAGCCTTCAAAGTCTTTGACCGAGATGGCAACGGCTTTATCTCCAAGCAAGAGCTTGGGACCGCCATGAGATCTCTCGGCTACATGCCCAATGAGGTGGAATTGGAAGTCATCATCCAGAGGCTGGATATGGACGGTAAGGTTGTCTGGAGATGGTAGGGGAGGCGAGGAGGGCCGTCCTTTTCTTATCTCATCGACCTTCTTCATCTCCAATACTTCTTCATTCTCTAGTTTCGGGCTGACTCTGGTGGCTGGGATTGTTGGAAGTCATAGTCCTACATATTTAGATGGTGGTGTGAAGAAACCTCCATTTCCTTCTTTCCTTCCTTCTTTCCTTCCTTCCTGTCATGGTGGTGCAATGGTTAGAATGCAGTACCGCAGGCTGACTCTGCCCACTGCCAGGAGTTCAATCCTGACCTGCTCAAGGTTGACTTCCATTCTTCTGAGGTCGGTAAAATGAGGACCAGGATTGTTGGGAGCAAGATGCTGCCATTGTAAATCCCTCCCTCCCTCCCTTCTTTCTTTCTTTCTTTCTTTCTTTCTTTCTTTCTTTCTTTCTTTCTTTCTTTCTTTCTTTCTTTCTTTCTTTCTTTCTTTCTTTCTTTCTTTCCTTCCTTCCTTCCTTCCTTCCTTCCTTCCTTTCTTTCTTTCTTTCTTTCTTTCTTTCCCATGGATATTGCAACCACCACGAATACATGCCAGTGGCCAAGCACCCAAATTTTGATCACATGACCCTGAGGATGCTGTGATAGTCATAAGAGCAAGGAGCGGTTGTCAGTCCTTTTCTTTCCAGAGCTGTTGTGACTCTGAATGGTCTCTAAATGAATTGTCATAAGACCAGGACTGCCCATCTCCTCTTTCACAAACAAGTGATTCGTCAACTGGACGCTTCCTTCAGATCACCTATCATTGCTCCTCTCGTTTCTAGGCGATGGGCAAGTGGACTTTGAAGAGTTTGTGACGTTACTTGGACCCAAACTCTCCACATCTGGCATCCCCGAGAAATTTCATGGTGCTGATTTTGACACCGTGTTCTGGAAGGTAAGGAGGGACCCCATTCCAGATCTCTGTGACCATCTTCTTAATTTCCTTGCAGATGTTGTACTCTAGATATATTTGATTTTTTTCTTTGCATTTTTCCTGGAGGTAGATGGAGAGTCTCAATCATCCGGGTTGTGGTTGTCCCAAAAGTGTTTTTTTTTCTCCTCCCAAAAAAGCAATGGGATTTTTTTGGTGTTTTCTTTGGTGTTTTCATTTCTCATCTAAGAACATTTTGTTCAATAATTAGGAGGAAATAGAGGACTGAAGATGTTGGGTTCTTGAGGTTCTCTGAGTTTGAAATACCATGAACCCATCCACTCCATATCTAGA